TCAAGTCATTCAAAACCAGTGAACTTCTCTACAGTGTGACCTGCTGCCCCCTGCTGGTGGGAACTGGGGAGAGGCAATGACAAATGTACCAAAATAAAAGCAGCTGCAGTGTCAGGTGACGTGTAAGAGCCCACTGGACACAGGAAGTGTTTTAAATAGACAGAGGTGAGGGTGAGCGCCTGTGGGGACAGAACGCACTGTGGCCGATGAAGGGGGCGGGGCCGCACCTGGAAGTGGTGTGACACGTCAAGCCGATAAAACGCATCACGGTGACATCACATCAGACACAGACAGGAAATCTGCGCACGCTCGCCAGGACACGTTATCAAGTACACCTGCTCAACTGCTCCTCGGCGCAAATATAAAGCCAATCACAGGGCAGCAGCTTCGGGATGAAGAGGAGCTGCCGAGGCTTAAACTGAGCACCAGAGTGATGAAGAAGAGTGATGTCAGCTAACATGGCCGAGGTCAGAGGAGTCTGATTCTCTGACCGGACCCTGCAGGAGCAGAACCAGGTCTGCCCCCTACAGGACAGTGAGGGCGACACAGGAGTACTGTTCAGTTATCGATCGTTAGATGGGACGATCGATAACTGAATCTGTGGAAACAGCCAGTGTCTGTGTGTGTCTGTGTGTGTGTCTGTGTCTGCGTGTGTCTGTGTGTGTTTCTGTGTGTGTCTGTGTGTGTGTCTGTGTGTGCGTGTCTGTCTGTGTCTGTGTGTGTACTCTCACCAGCACCTGCTGCTCCTACTGCTCATCTCTGCTGCTCAGAGGGAAACACGAAGACCTGCACACACACACACACACACACACACGCACACACTGTTTCATTTCAGATACAGTAACAAAAGACAAGTTCATGCTAGTAAATCTCCACCTCAGTATTCAGTCTTTAATATTTGTGAACTTCATTAATTCTAATAAACTGAATCAGAGTCGATTCTTCTCGGTGTTAAAAGTTCACTTTTCTGTCTTTTTCTTTTTTTAATGTACTTTTATTTTGGTTTTCTTGTAGTTTTAACTTTTTGTCATTTTTAACCTTCCTTCACTTCTCTCACTTTCACGTTTCCCTTTTTCATTTGTCTGAATAATAAAAGTCTAAATCACTAAAAAGATCCAGGGAGGGAAAAATTAAAAATACACTTTACATTGGTTTAGCTGTTCTGACCATGAATTATTATTTTAATGGTTTTATTGTTAGAGGAAGCTTTAAAAAGAGACTGTAGTTTGGTGGTTTTCCTCTGAATACCTGCAGACTGTTGGCTGTTCCCTTAAATGATTCAGAGCTCTCTCCCACAGATTTCCTCAGACTTGAATTAGCAGATTTTAATTAAAAATCATTAAAAATTAGACTCTTTCAAAGTAAAAGCCGCACGGGGCTGGCCGTTGGTGGCGGTTAGGCTAGCAGCGTTAGCAACGGGCTAACCCAAGAGCCGCGGGATGGAGACTTCAAACCGGTTAAAGTGTCAGAGAAACTTTAACTTTAACTCGGTGCCTCTCCGGCCCTCTGTCCCGTACAGCAGCGGTCCAGTCTGAGACGGTTTTCCGTTTAACTAGTCAAAAGAACAAAACAAAACGTTTTTCTGTTAACTTACCGGCAACAATTGGAAGGAGAATCACGTGAGACTACTGGAAGTCTCGTTCTGTGATTGGGGAGGCCTCGATGACGTAATATCGCGGTTTAATTTTTTTAATGTACCCCTTGTTCCTCTCTCCTACATGCAAATGCCTTCATTTTAATTTTTATTTGTTGTCCTTTTTCTTCATTTCACGTATTGATTTTTGCTGTTTTTGTTTTCTCTGTGATCCGTCTGTTTTATTATTTTCTTGTACGATACAGTCAGAATGACAACTATCAGCATGATGACAACAAGCTGAAATTTAAATAATATTACCAAACTTAATCTAACTCATGTTGAAATGTAATCAGGTTTCTTTTGTTTTGTTGTCCCG